TCATCTCAGCAAAACACAAGGAAACAATCATATGTGTGAGTTCAGGCCTCCAGGTGAAGAAAATCAAAGAAAATGTTGACATGAAATCACGAAGGCTTCCACGGAAGCACAGAGAGAGAGAGAGAGAGAGAGAGAGAGAGAGAGAGAGAGAGAGAGAGAGAGAGAGAGAGAGAGAGAGAGAGAGAGAGAGAGAGAGAGAAAGAGAGTACAGAGTGAATAACAAAGCTACCGGACCACCGTCAGCCGAAGGCGGATCCTCCAAGCCTAAGCTCGAGATCTATTTCCTCAGCGGGAATAGAGACACCTCCAAGTGTCTGAGATTGGAGAAGACTCTCGCCAGCCACAGAGAATCGGAGAGCGTGAGGAACAGTCAAGTCGTGTTTCCTCCTTTTGCCACCTGGCGCCTTCTCCTTGAGATCACCCTCCCCCATTGGAATCTGAACTGAAGATTCATCTGGGTTTTCGTTGAAGAAATGTGAAAGGCAGGAAGGAGAGACAAGGATCTGCTCTTTAGGGCTTTCAATGGTGGAAGTCCCTGAAACCCTAAAAGAAGAAGAAGAGGGTGATCTAGACGTCCCCACTGAAACACCCGGGGGGCAAGGAATCTGGCGGAGGCCGATCTCAATCTGGGTCGCGGAGGACAGCTTCAGCCTGGCTCGGTCTCTCCGGTGTACGTTCACGTGGCCGCCGAGAGCTTGGGCCGATCGGAATTCTCTCCTGCAGAAGCTGCACGAGTAAGATCTGGGGGGCCATGGGTAGCCTTGCCCGGCTGAGTCTTCCTCCAAGGAATACTCGTCGTAGAAAGCGGCTGTGGCAGCGCCGCCAGCGAGGTCCCCGACTCGACTCCCCCCGGTCAGCCTGCGGCACCGACCTTCCTCCATCGCGCCCTGCGCAGACTCTGAAGGAAGAAGGAGAGGCCCGCCGCTCTCTCTCTCTCTTTCTCTGCCGAGCTGTAAACATGAGAAGAGAAAGTGCAGAGCTGAACCTAGAAAAGTCTCCTGCAGGTAGTCCTAGTCGGTCGGTGATTGGTTGTTTTGGACGATTCGAGCGACGGCATTTTCAAATTTTCCATTGCTTGATTTTGCGCAGATAAGCATCTTCTCGATTATCATCCACGGAAATTGCAGTCTGCCAGAGAGGGGAGAGAGGGGGGGGGGGGGCTGGGAGAAAGAGAGTCCAAATGTCAATCAATCTATCACGCGAGAAATGAATTAAGTAAGACTAATCATGTAATGAGTACGTAAATTCATCGAATATCACATAAACGACATAGCTGATTACGATTGACCACCTTATGAGATCACTCTTCTTGGGGGGAACCTAAAGCTTCCGTCAAACTCAATAGACATTGTTTATCAAGCCCTCTGACTCGTACAGCTCTTCGGGAGGAGAATCTCAGTCACAAGGGCGTCACCAGGTTGGATCTGGCCCTCTTCTCGCCAAGCCCTCCCTACCCCGGTCGTCGTCAACAAGTTCCGGGCAAAAGCCCGGAAAATGGGTGTGTGTGTGTGTGTGAGAGAGAGAGATAAACGCTGACCGTGTCTGATTCTCTCTCTAGATTGACGAAGTTTTCGAGTAACAGTGCCCTACTGGAAACGGCGACTGTATCTTTCATGGTTTAAGCTCCCCAATATTCCCTGCGGAGGGAAACGAAGCTACGCGCCGCGCCGGCGGTAGTACGAGCATAGTATATGCAGGGTTCTGAGTAGAACTCTTGATCGGCGCCCCGCCGGCACGAGCACATAACATGGTCCTCCGCGGAGCCGACGAGACGTTCCATCGATCCCCTTGCTTGTCCGGACGCCGCTTCCTTTATTATCAAGTAATCTATGCCCGTCGGCGTCTCTCACCTTCGCCAGTTCAGAGTTCCTTTTAATATCGGCAGAGGATGTGAGAGGGGGATCCCTCTGGTATCAGAGACAGATCTCTCCCCTCTCTCTCTCTCTCTCTCTCTCTCTCTCTCTCTCTCTCTCTCTCGATATTGTATATATCTATATATGTATATATCAACCTATCTTCCTTCTGATTAAGCTGCGGAAACCGGTCTTGCTCTCAGTGGGGAGGAAATGAATCTTACTGTTTGTCCAAACCATGGAAGAATCAACGATTCTTACCTCTTCTCTCTCCCTCCCTCTCTGCCAGGATTAGGCTACAGAAGCCCGACTTACTGAGGCCGAGGAAAAAATCACCCATCCTCGTCACCTCTCTCTCTCTCCGAGTACAATAGAGTTCATTACTTAGGAGAAAGGTTCTGCATCTTGACCGGGATGCTGAGGGTGGCGGCACGAAACTTGTTTGCTGAACTCTGCAGGATAGAGAAAGAAGGAAGAGAGAGAGGGAGAGAGAGAGAGAGAGAGGTACCTGTAATTATTTCGATATACATAATTACAGAAAATATTTTGTAAAAGCACCTGATCAGGACGAATGATTGAAAAGCAAGAGTATATGTTGTTTTCTGGTACCAAGTAGTGCAACTGGAAAACACAAGGGGTGATAAATAATTCAGCCCAATTTTTCATTATTTTAAACATGCTTATATTTTAAACCGTTCTTGTATATATACATTCTTTAGGGGTTTTTAGCTATTGGTTACCTTTACAGGGTTGTCTGGGCCGAGCCGGTCCGAAATTTCCGCATAACCGTCGGGCAGCGCGAGACGGTCACTCCGGCGAGTCTCACCTCCGAGCTGTGAGAGGGTTTTCGCCGTCTCCCCACCGGAATCATAGGCGGCGCCGCCTCCATTCGGATTAAGAAGATCCCCCCGGTGGATTACTCGGATATCTCATCCAAGCCTGCAAGAATTCGTCGCCGGAGCCTTTTTTACGAGTTTGGGCCTCAGTCTTCGGGGTTCATGAGCCCGATGATGCTGCCGCTAACGTCGTGGGCGGCGGTGGAAGGTTCCCGGAGGCGGGAGGAGCAGCCGGAGGTCTCGTGGTCGACGTCGTTGGGTCGCACCGTGAAAGGCTCCTACCGTTACGTGGTGGTGGGGTACTCTCTGGCGAAAGGAATGGGGATCGGGAAGTTCCTTGCGAGCGAGATCTTCTCGGTGGGGGAATATCTGTGGGTTATCTACTTCTACCCGGACGGCAAGAACCGAGAGGATGCCGATTACGTGTCCGTTTTCGTTAATCGGATCACCAATGATCCATACGTGAGAGCCTCTTCGAGCTTATTTTGGTGGATCAGAGCGGCAAAGGAGAGCACATGGTGAAAAGCCGTTTTGGTGGCAAGAGGCCTGACGGACCACTCCGCCTCTGTGGATACAACCACATCTGGTATGTGTGCCTCCGCCGTCTGCCATTCCCCACCCATGAGGCGGACGCCTCGGCGTGCTGTCCTTCACCTTGTTGTGAGACAAAGCTGCTCGATGACTTGGACGATCTATATTTATACATTACGAAATATTCTGTCGACTCTGTTCGCCCTTCCTTTCCGACAACTTTCCTGTTTTCATCTGATTTTTCTAGCGGATGGTTGAAACAACGTTTTAGCTTCTGTTGTGTGTTCTACACCGGTTTCTCCTCACGTCCATGCTCCCTTTTGTCTCTGTCTCTCTGCGGATTTGATTCATCGTGTGTGTCGTTGTTACATCACGACGAGTTCCTTCTAATTTGCCGCTGCAATTGCAGGGGTTCGAAGAGGTTTATCAAGAAAGCAGCTCTGGAAAGATCGGCCTTTCTCCAGGAAGATTCTGATTATATTACCATGAAATCTTATCAGCCGATCAGCATTGTCAAGATTCGCACGATCGTCTTTTCTAAGACTCGCACAGTGACGCCCGGACAGTGGAGTATTCCTGTTCCTCCGTCGGACTTGGGTCCAAGCCTGGACGAATTGTTGATGACTGAGATGGGTTCCGACATAGTTTTTTAAAGCCCACAAACTGATTCTTGCCGCTCGTCCTCCCGTATTCCGTGCCCAGTTCTTTGGTATGATCGGGGGTCCGAATTTAGATTGAGTCGAGATGGAGGGAAGAGAGCCTCCTGTTTTAAGGTAGCTTCTATCAGCATTCTCTCATATTATCATGAAATATTTATTGGCCTATTTGCTTCAACCTCTCGCCAACTTTGGTCGCTGAGCATTTTATTTGCACAAATAACGAGTTTTACTTTGAGTTCCTGCGTGCTTATGGTATTCAGAGCTCTGTATACCTTTAATACGCAAAGAAATGGATGGATTTCTCTCTGGAGGACCCTTAAGCATGTGTAGAGATAGATCACCGTGGAAGCTCCCGCACCCGAGATAGTTTTCTTACAATGAACGTTATGAAAATGGTTAATTCTATTATTCTAAACGGAGGAGAGGAGCACAGGATCTGCTCCAGCTGGTCATTAAACAAGTTACTGGAGCTGTTGGATTTCCCTTTTGTTCTATTATTCAATTTTTACACTCGATCATTCCTTTTAAAACGGCTGCTTCTTTTTTACTTTGCCATATGACGAGATTACCTCCTAATAAAATGTAGTAGCCTATACACACACACACACACACACAACAGAGATTATTATTTCTAATTATCTATATCTACATAATTACATAAAATAGTCTACTTACATTAAATATTTGCTATAAGTACTTCTAAGATGAATGATTGAAGAACGAGCGTGACGTTTTAAGGGACACAGTAGTGCAACGGGAAAACAGAAGGTCTTCTAAATCATTCAACTCAAATTTTCATTGTTTCAAAAGTGTTTATGGTTACAAGAAATCGTAACTGTCTATAAAATTTTCTAGGGGTTTTTACCCATTATCTTTTATGGGGTTGGCTCGGCCGAGCGCCGTCTCCCCTTCGGAGCCATAGGCGATGCCGCCTCCGTTCAGATCAAGAAGATCCCCTCTCCTTCTTCCTGAATGCTAGCTAGGGTTACGCCGGGAATGTTCCTTCTTCCCTGGGGACTTCGACGGATTACTCCGATTTCTCCTCCGCGCCTGCAAGAATTCGTCGCCGGAGTCTTCTTTACGAGTTTGGTCGTCAGTCATCGGGGTTCGGGAACCCGATGATGTTGCCGTCAACGTCGTGGGTTACGGCGGAAGGTTCCCGGAGGCGGGAGAAGCAGCCGGAGGTCTCGTGCTCGATGTCGGTGAGTTGCACCGTGGAAGGCTCCCACCGTTACGTCTTGGCGGGGTACTCTCAGGCGAAAGGAATGGGGGTCGGGAAGTTCCTTTCGAGCGAGGTCTTCTCAGTGGGAGGGCTTCGGTGGGCCATCCACTTCTACCCGGACGGCCTTGGCCCAGAGGACAATGGTGGTTACGTGTCCCTCTTTGTCACCCTGGTCACCGGGGAACCAGACTGTCGAGCGCTTTTCGACCTTGCTATGACCGATCAGAGAGGCAAAGTACGGTACAAGAGGGACACCATTTCTAGTCGCTTCGAACCTGTCAACCTCAAGGGAAACGGCTGGAGTTGGTATGTGCGCCCTCCGCCGTCTGCAGATTCGCTTCCTGGTGTGAGTCACAAACATGACGAGTTCCTTCTAATTTTGCCGCTGCAATTGCAGGGGTTCTATAAGGTTTATCAAGAAAGCAGCTCTGGAAAGATCGAACTTTCTCCAGAACGATTCTCTTTTTTTCGAATGTGCAATCAGCGTTGTCAAGACTCGCACGGTGACGCCCATACAGTGGAGTATTCCTGTTCCGACGTCGGACTTGGGTCGCAGCCTGGGTGAACTATTGAGGACTGAGATGGGTTCCGACATAGTCTTTGTAGTCGCCGGCGAGTCTTTTAAGGCCCACAAGTTGATTCTTGCCGCTCGCTCTCCCGTCTTCCGTGCCCAGTTCTTCGGTGGGATCGGGGATCCAAATTTAGATAAAGTCGATGTGGAGGAAATAGAACCCCCCGTTTTCAAGGTAGCTTCCGTCAGCATTCTCTGATCATAATTAATTAGCCTATTTGTTTCGGCTACGCCTTTATCTGCTTAAATAGCGAGTTTCCTTCAATAATGTTTACCTTGAATACGCCACTATTCCAAACGGAGGGGAGGAGCTGGGGAGAGTTCGAGAACGATGGGCCTGTTTCTGATATCAAGAACAGTAATGCGTTTCAGGTGGAAGCATATAGCCGATTTCATTCCTGCTCCACTGAATGGATCGGGTGATGGTATCCCTGTATGAAGCATAATTTTTCATCTGGATGTGAATATTTTCTGCGGTTTTTATTTTCTGTCTGCAGGCGATGCTTCAGTTCATCTACTCCGATGGCTTCCCGGACGTCCAAGAGCTCGCCATGTCCATTCCGATGTGTAACCCGACGATCTTCCTCCGGCATCTCCTGGCCGCTGCCGACCGTTACTGGCTGGACCGGCTGAAGCGCTTTTGTGAGCTCAAGCTGTCAGAGGAGATCACGGAGGACACAGTGGCCGACAACCTGGCTCTGGCGGAGCGGCATCGCTGTCCCGGGCTGAAGGCTGCGGGTCTGGAGTTCATTGACCGGTGCCTCAAAGGTGGGTGTAGTTGTTTGTCAGTGCGTTCCTGAGATTTTCATGTATGATTTTATAACTTTACATTATGCATTTGAATTGCGATAGGACATTGATTCGGGCTTCTGTGGGAGCCATTTAGATTCCTGTGGGTCTGAAGAAATGTGGGGATTTTTTTAAAAAAACAATTCGGACGAATTTTCATGTGGGCAAATATTTCCTTTTCTTTCCTTACTCTCATTGTAGGGAGGCAATGACGGGCATGCTGCAGACGGTGGCGATCGTCGATGGGGACTCCAGCGGCGGTCGCCGAGGCGGCGAGGAGGTGGTCGATGCACAAGAAGAAGAAGAAGAAAGTTGCTCCGACAGGAGGCGGCACTTGGGGGGGGTGAACGTTGACCGACGGTGGGGGAATTTAAATCCTCTCACGCTCGGAATTTAAGGGATCATATATTTTTTTTTTCTCCCTCATTATCCGAGACTCCGATGACCATGAAAAGGTCGGGTTTCTTGTGGGTCCGTTGGGATCATGATCGGATCCGATTGGACGATTGGGCGGCAGATCCGATCGGACGGGCTGCAAGACGTGAAGGCCAGGACGCTGAAGGAGGAAGGAGAGATCCGCCGCGCTCTCTCTCTCTCTCTCCCTCTCCACACGAAGCTGTACCCGTGAGAAGAGAGCGCAGGACTAAGCTTAGGAAGGTCTCCAGCAGGAAGTCCTTGTCGGCCGGTGATAGCTTGTTTTGGCCAATTCTAGAGACTGGATTTTCCGAGCTTTGTTGCTTGATTTGGGTGAATTGGCATCTTCTCGATTATCATCGATGGGAAATTTGATGAGTACCCAAGGTCAGGGTAGGAAGAAGAGAGAAAAACGCTGATTGTAAGGGAAAAGACAAAGGACTGGTTCGCCGGGACGGCACTTACACTGACTTCAAGACAACTCTAGAATGAAGGGATAACCGAAGGATCGTCTCACAGGTGACGTCCTTCGGGAATGCGGCGTTGGTCTCGACCTAGCCTCTCTTTAAAGGCTGAGCCACGGGATTTGGTCTCTATCGGCCTGTTGCCCGCTGTCACGTGGCAGTCCTCCAAACCCTCCTACAAGGGTGTTGCCAACAGAACGGTTTGAAGTACGTATTTTTCCGTGGGTGACCTCAGGTTGTGACGGCCTCAACAATACTCCCGCCTTGGAAATTCACCTTGTCCTCAAGCTGGAACACTGGGAACTGTTGGTGGATGACACGTACGGACTCCCACATGGCTTCCGAGCTGGTAGACTGAGCCATTTGATGAGTGCTTTTAAGCCTTGTGGCCCATGCCGAATGGCTGGACAATCCACGTGAGAACCTCATTCATACTAAGGGGAGATATTGGGATAATTTGAACAATTAATGCTTAATTTCATGCAAAATGACATTTAACAATACAATAATGTATGATATTGGGCTCGCTGTTTGATACCATGAAAAATCACATAAAATAAGTGAAGCATAATTTATGATGAATGTTTTAAATACATGCTTAATTTCATAAATTTTCCTTATTTTCTATAGCATGTGTATTTATTTATTTATATGCTTCACTTGAATGATAATTATAAATAAATTTCATTTGATATCTAAATTATGATTTGAATATTTTATAATGATTTAATATGATCAAAGTATTTTTCCTGATTTTTAGATGTTTTTAGAATTTTTTTTTAGTATTAGAAGATTTATTTCAAGTTTAAATAAATATTCCAAAGGTTTTTCTATTTTCCGTAATTTTATATTAAATCCGAATTAATATTAGTGCTTTGACTCATGATTATTTAAAATATAAAGCATAAATCATATGGTTTTTATGATTTATTATGCATCTCTTAAGCCCTAAGTAAACTCATGTATAAATGAGTTTAAGATTTACCATGCTGATTTCTCCCTTATACTTAATTTATTATATTTATTTATTTAAGGAGTAATGGGCTTTATTTTAATACTATGTTTCAGGTCATATTAGGCCCATGGGTCAGCTGGACAGCCCATATTAATGAAGGAGGAGGCCCAACAAGAAGGAGGCGTTTTCTCTCCCCTCAAATTAAGGAAACTGCCCACTTAAGGTGGGCGGTTCATTTCTTCCTTAATTTGAGGGAGGGATTTGTGGCACCATCTGATCAGCCACGTCCCTCTCCCTCATTAAACAACCCTTGGGACTATCTCAGCCGCTCAATCAGCCCAATCCAAGGGGTGAGATAAGTCCTAGGGTAAGGGAAGGTGAGGAGACACCCTAGCAGCCTCCCACCTCCCTTAGGCTGCCCTTGGGGAGATAAATCTAATCCAAGGGCTGTGCACTCTCCCCCATAATCTAAGGGCTTTATTTTTTGATCCCTAGAGTGACACTAGGTTGATCCTAGGATAGAATCCAACCCTTATACACTTCTCTTGCTTCTCTTGATGTATGTGGATCTCTTGATTTATCAAGATTGATCACATTTCTAAGAGTGAGCAAGGTAGGACATATCTAGGATACTTTAGACCCTTCTTTTGATCCTTCTCCTTCCATATTGTTTTGTTCTTTTGATTCATCAAAGTTGAGCATTCATTGGAATTAGAGAGGGATAAAGAGAGGTTAGGAAGTAGTTTAGGAGTAGATTAATCTGCTTTTGTTTTTCTATTGATCTCTAATGTAACATAGGAATATCTAAGAAGATTAGAGTTTTTATTTACATACATTAGGATTAAAGAATTCACAATCATCTCATACTTCACCATTTGTTTCTCACCTGATTTTCTTCTCTTGATGACTGAAAAATCATCAAAATAAGATTAATTTATTCCCCCTTTAGTGTGCCTAAGTCAACTCTCTTCTATGTCCTCATCTCATTCTTCATCAAAAATTCAATATTGATTAGAAGTTAAATCTTATCTTAGTTTAGACAACTCTTTGTGATTCGACTTTAATACTCCTTAAACTATACTCATTAGTATCATTAGAAAGACATTTGAACATCATAAATTTTATTTTTGACACTCTTTAATTACAATGTTTTGGAGCAGATCACTGTTGTGAAGGTTTTTGCTTTCTTGAGCTTTGTGGTGTGAAAGATGGGATGTATTATTGTAGAGTTTGGAAGGTTTAACTTGTACTTTACAGATCCGATTATGTCCAAGACTTGATATGGGCCAAAGAAGTGTGGGCGGAGCTTCTCGCAGGGTCATCAGTCTAAAGATTGTTGCCTATATGACCAGAGTCTAAGGTAGACAAAGACCTCTAGTTGGAACTCAAGGTCATGTTGTCCGTGGTCTGCGTGTGCCTTCATCTATGCTTGAATTCACTAGAGATAGAGCTTGAGTTTTTTGAGAGTTTGATCTCTCTCTCATATGAGCTAGTTGATGTCGGCTGTGATGGTAATACTTGGTTTGTACTTCATTAGAGTGGCGGGGTCATAGCCCTAAATAATCTTAAACGGAGAGAAACATGAGAATGAGTTGTAATTAAGTGTTAAACCATAGACAATCCCTTGAAAAATAGCAAATGTAAGTTTTCAAACTTCGTTGACCACTTCCAATAGTCTATTAGTCTGAGGGTAGTATGAGCTTGTTTGATGGAGGGTTGTGCCATGGAGCTTGAAGATTTCACTCCGTAAGAAGGTTATAAACATTTGGTCTCTATTCATGAGTATAGACTTCACAAAATCTGTGCAGCCACACTACAACTTGGATGAAGATCATCATTATGTCCTTCACCATAAAGGGGTGCCAAAGAGCGGAAAAATGTGTACATTTGCTTAGTCGATCCACAATGACTAAGATATAGTTATATCCTTTAGAAGCTAGTGGTCTCAATGAAATCTATATTAAGGTCTATCCAAATTAGTGTCAAAATTGGGAGAGGTTGGAAGAGGTTGCATGGGTCATGTGATTTAGACTTATTTCTTTGACAAATTGTGTAATTGGCTATGAATTTTTAGATGCACTTAACATGCCTCTCCAGTGAACACTCTACATAATTCGACAATCTAGTGTCTTGGACTCAAAATGTGCTCCTATTGTTGAGCTTTGAAATTCCTAAAGTATGTTTGAGATGAGCTGCAAATTCTCAAATATGACGAGTCGTCCTCCATAGAATAGTTTCTTGTGATGTAATGAATAATGTCGGCAGCTTTCTAGTTGGGTCATGATTTCTAGTTGGATCAACTCAATTCTCTTCAGCAATTATATGCATATCATGCAGCTTTGGTCGAAACAATTTAGTCGCATGTAGTAAACTGACATCTGGAACTCGAGACAAAGCATCTATAGC